CTCACCGGACGAGGGGGTGGTGGCCCAGCGTGCAGCGGGGGCGGGGGCCATCCATGTCGCATGACTGGTTGTAATTCCTGCCGGGAGCAAAGGGACAGGGTAGGAGAGTCGAGATGCTGTCTGGGACCCTCCTGTCTCCTGCCCACAGGCCCTTCAAGGGGCAGCAAAGCTGCTCCCCAATGAGCTCCTCCAGGGAGTGATCTGCCCAACAAGGTCTTCTGGTGGCATCACACTTGGGTTTCCACAGCCTGTGCCCTGCCTGCTGGCTCTGCTGCCCACCTGGAGCCCCTGCCTGCGAGGGAGAGGCCATGGTGGGGCAGAGGGCTGCACGCCCTGCTGGGTGCAAGTGCTGCGTTGCTGGGCTCAGGGGGTTCTGGCAGCCCCACACCTGGGGGCAGGAGTGAGAGCAGCCACCAACAGCTCCACGTTTACAGGGGATGAGTGGGAATGCTGAACTGCATGGGAAATGGCCCCCACGGCCACAACGGCCCCCAGCGCAGTGCCACCATACCTGGGAGGAAGGGAAGGAAGGAGGAAGCTCCCCAAGGAGCTGGGAAGTGCTGCTTGAGGGAGGATATGACCAGAGCAAGCCCCCAGGCTGCCCTTGGAGCTGGGTACACCAGCAGGGCATCCTGCTGGGCTGGGGCAGGCAGCGCTCTGCTGCCCACAACCACTGCAGATTTCTGGGGGTGTCTCCTGCATCCACGACCCCACGAGCCTGAGGACCCCAAGCTCTTATCACGCGAGACACCTTCCTGCCTCACAGCTGCTGCCTGCAAACCTTAAGGCACCCCACGGGAATATATACCCCATCACCCTCATGGCTCTCCCAGGAGCTGGCACACACTTGCAATTGGTTTTTGGGTGGCCCTTTGCAGCAGCATCACCCAGGCATTCAGCACCTCTGCCCGGCATGGCTGAGTGGGACAGGACCCCCTCCTCACACCACGGGCAGGGAGCCCAAAGTCCTGTGCCCCAAAGGGCACCTTCAGACACCCCCTGCCCCACGGCAGGGATGGGAGCTGTGGGGTTCCAGTACTGCCCTGCCCCTGGCCCAGGCTGACCATCCACCACCTCTGGCCACGCAGCAAGCACACGGTTAAAAAAGCGTTTTGGAAAGGGACCGGCTGGGCTCTGATGTTTTTTCAGTCTCCTCAGTTTACTGGTGGCTTTGTTTTCCAACCACTAGACGCAGGCGAGGCATGGAGCCCCACGGTCTCCTCAAAGGCTGCTCTTGGGGCCGTGTTTGGTTTGGGAGGGTGTTTTTTGTTATTATTTTGTTTCAAGCGAGCAGCCCGAGGCCGGGGAGCATTATTCATCATTAAGGGCTGGCTGTGCAGCGCAGACACACGCATTCTTCCCAGGGCAGAATCAGCCATCAGGCAGGAAATGGCAGCAGGATTTTTTTTTCCCCTTCTTCAAACACTCCAGCAAGAATTAAACTAACATGAATCTTTCTGGGCAGATTTTTAAGGTGACACAACAAGCCAAAAACCCTGCAGAAGAAGTTGCCAAGAGACCAAACAGTTGGGTTTTTTCTCCAGCCCTAGTCTCTTCTGTGCCTCATCCCCTATCTGGGGGTGCTGCAGGCAGCTCTGCCCATGGGGTGTCCAGGCACTGCAGGGCCGTCCCATCCCCCCTGGCACTGCCAGATTTAGCCGCAAGCAAGCAAGTCGCAACCTTTTCCATGGAGACACACAGCCCTCTGTAATTCCCAGACCACTTATTTTCATACTTTCTCCATGCTGTGTTTTTTCAATGGCCTCCTTCTCCCTGCCTGGTTTGCTGCTGGGCTGGATTGTTCACTGGAGCAGCTGTAACCACAAGCTAGCCTGGGGCAGGAGAGGAAGGGCAGCCCAACCCCAACAGCAGCTAGTCCCCAAGCAGTTCTGCTCCCAAAAGCCACTTGTAGACTAGATAGGAGGTGCATGTCCCGGGGCATTTGTGCCCCATCACTGTCACCACCACGTCTGCTGGGGGAGAAGGTGGCTCTGATCTCCTTTAATGCTCCCACGTATCCTGTCATCTCCAGTCCCCTCCTAGGGACAGCCTGAGCCCCAAACCCCCTTTCAGCACAGTGATGGTACAGGGGGAGCCTCAGCTACCCAGTGTTCTGGCACAGCATGGCACTGTTCAAGACAGACAGGTCTGCAAGAGGACCCTGCACTATGAGGTCTTTAACTGAGACAGTCCATGCCAAAGAGCCCCTGTGCCTCCCCCCAGGCCTTACCAGTTGTGGACAGGGCAGATGTGGTTGTTGGAGAGTGCCATGGCATACCTGAGAGAGAGACAACAACAGGGTTACAGCAGCCACCCACCTCCCTGCATCCCTGCTAGCACCCAGAACAGGCACAGGGACCAGCCACTGGAGCAGAGGACACAAGCCATCACTGTTTGCCAGGGATCAGCACTCACCCTGTGGCACCCCCCAGCTGTACAAAGCAGGAAAAAGAAAAGCAAGTGCATGAGCCAGGCCCATGCTCTGGGGAGCTCCCACTGCCAAGCCCAGGTCCCCCTGCTTTGTACCCTCATCCCTGCTGAGAACTGCCTCCTGCTCCAGTTCAGTGCAGCTGCTTCTGTGGGGCCTCCTCCTCATTGTGCTGCTGCGCTCCTCGGGCTCTGGGGAACCCGACCCTGGCATCAGGGCACTCCAACAGCCTAGAGCTGTGCCAGCCGTCCCCGATGGCGCTGGGCTCTGCCATGCTTCCCCTGGCCCCTGGCTGACGAGCATCCGGAGCTAAAAGAAGTCTGGAAAAGTAGCTGGTGTGCTGGCAGGGCATTTTGGGCAGAGCAGCTCCATCAAGCACTTCACTGTGAAGTCACCCCTGCATCTCAGTCAGTGTAACAAGGGGCTCATGACATGCATCCTGCTCCGCTCCAGAGGGATCTCAGCCCTCTGGCTCCTCCAGCCACAGAAGATCCCTCCTGCCCAGCAGCCACAGGTACTGTGCTGTTCAAATCGCTGCTGGCCATAAACAGCTCAGGTTAAAAATAGGCCCCAACACCAGTAAGAAAACCTGGTTGGTCTGACTTGGCCACAAAACAGCTGGATTGCAAAAAGGATGATCCCAGGAGAGAGGCAGCAGTGCAAAGAGCAGGCCAGCTGGGGGGAACCGAGGGGCAGCACTCCCAGCAGACCCCTTACCCAGCCATCTCCCAGCACAGGTCTCCCTGCAAGCACCCCATCCCCGTCCCAGATCTCTGCAGCCTCCTGGGAGGGGGCAAGAAGCCAAGAGAGGCACAAACAGCACTGCCCTCTGCCAGTGGGATGTATCCCTGCCTGCCCAGTCCCCTTTCATGGCTCTGCATTCTAGGCACGGCTGGTGGACCCCTGTGTGGGCCATACGCTCCACAAGCAACTGCCTGGCCTCACCCTGCCACTGCACTCGTGAGGGACACAGCATACCCTGGGGGGATAGAGGACATGTCTGATGGCAGAAAACGGGTCTGAGACTTCCCTCCCAGGGCAGCTCTGGCAATAAGGATCATAAACATCCAACTCCTACCTGTGCTACTCTGGGCTGGAGAGGCATCTGCTCCCCAGGGCCACTCATGGGAGACAGTCAATGCTTCACAAGGTGTCCAAAGGAAAAATCTGGAGCATAAGTTCCTTGGACCAGGGTCAGCATTCAGCTTTGTTGTGAAGGAAGACAGGGAATACCACAGGAGGAAGCTCTTGGAGGGACATGCATAGTATGGAGTGCATTTGCTCCATCCTACATGCCAGGAAGTCCAATCACCTATACTAAGACTCCTTGTGCCTTTGGGAAAAATCCCTCATCCAGTGCTCATCAATACTAAGGCCTGAGAAAGTGACTGGTGGTCTAGTGCTGCTCACCCAGGTGACACAGCCTCTGCCCCCAGCACAAGGCTCTCCCATCTCTCCCATCCATCCACTACACGGATGGGTGCCCATGTGCTGGCTACAGTCCTGGTGCTGCAGGAGCTGGGCTGGTGCCACAGCTCCCAAAGCTATTCCCATGCCACCTAAGTGTCAGCGGGACAGGGACGCACGGTTCCAGGGGTGTTAGGGAGGCACATGCCATGCACTGCCGCAGGGACCACGCAGGACGGCAGTGCGAGGGCTGGGAGGTGTGAGAGCGTGCAGAGTGCCGCAACACGACGGGGGACCAGCGGTGCCCTGCAACCTCCTGCCCCGCT